AGAGCAAGAGAAAGAGAGGGAAAGTGAGAAAGCAAGTCACCAGGTCTAGGACTCGAACCAAGGTTGGCCATGTAGGAGTCTAGCACCCTTAACTACCATGCCACCTGCCAGACCCAATTATTATTCTTTTTAAAAATTTGTTATAGGGCACATTTGCTCACCAGAGAGAGTAAGAAAGCAAGCTGTCAGGTCCTAACCGTGGCCGCCTATGTGGGAGTCCAGCACCTTAACTACCATGCCACTCGCTAGTCTCTGTTACAGCTGTGTCGTCCCCACCCTCAATATCCTTATCAGAAAAACGGGAACAATATTAGTACTAATTCATAGGGTTTTTGTAAAAATTAATGGAAAGAATCCGTGTAAAACCTAAGTACTGTGCCCATAAAGACTCAGCAATGGTTAGTTTTTGTCATTTTTCACAAACTAACCGAACTGGGGGCCAGCCAGTGCCGTGGTGGCTGACTGCTGGACTGAGTTCTGAACCTGGCAGTTTGAGAAACATGCTGGGTGTGTGTGCATGTGTGCCCCAAATCCGAGTGGAGAACAGAGAAGCGGCTGCGGTGCGGCCTGCCCGCCTGGGCGGCACCTTCGCACTTCCTTTCTCTGTCTCTCTCCTGTGAGGGCATGGCCCTTGCAAATTAAAAAAGAAAAGTTAACCCAGTTGGGTGACCGTCGATGATTGTTAGATCCCAGACAGCCCACAATGAAGACATGATTGAGCGACTGTTTGGGGAGAATCTCATTGCCAGAGAGAGTGGTGAGGAAGCAGGCATCCTCTAAGGGGGCCTGGTCTCACCGCACTCCCTTCTCTCTCCATCCTGTCAGGATCTGGGGCATGCACACACATGCGCCCAGCATGTTTTTGAAGCCATGGGGGCCAGAATTTGGGTGGTGGTCAGCCATGTGGGATCTGGCTCCCTTAATCACAGGGCTGCAGGGTGACCTGGAAGCGTTATGTTTGCTATAGGCTGCATGCGCTTGCCGGAAAGAGACAGAGACACACAGAAAGAGGTGAGAATCACCCTCCGTGGGGTGGCCATACCATAGTCCCTTCTCCATTCTTCTTTCTGGAGTTTGGGCACACGGGCATATGCACCAGTGTTTTTCAAGCACCCAGGTTGGGGGTTTGAACCACATTGTTGGCCACGTGAGATCCAGCGGGGGCCAGAGGATGGTGTCAGGTTAAGGCTCTGGACTCCCATATAGCCAACCCGGATTTGAATCCCAGAACTGGTAGCTTGCTTTCTCATTCCCCCGTCTGGAGAGCACACCTGCCTTATAGCAAACTTAAAGGGCCAGCAGGTGGCATGGTGGTTAAGGTGCTGGACTCCCATATGGCTGACCTCAGTTTGAGTCCCAGACCCAGTGGTTTGAAAATCACAACCTGCATGTATATGCCCAGAATCCCAAGGAGAATAGAGGAGGGATTTCTCACTTTCTCTCTCCCTCTGTCTCTCTAGTGGGTGCATGTGCCCTATACAAAAAATAAATTTTAAAAAAGGAATTAAATATAATTTTTTAAAATTAAAAATGTGTCTTATTTGTGAGGTTGAGATTTATGGATTAACTTTAGAAAACGTCTTGGCAGAGATACGCGACCCTCAAAGCGCGGAAATGGAGGCGCAGTCCTACTGCGCCAAGCTCCTGGGCGAGCTGAACGAGCAGCGCAAGAGGGACTTCTTCTGCGACTGCAGCATCATCGTGGAGGGGCGCATCTTCAAGGCCCACCGCAACATCCTGTTCGCCAACAGCGGCTACTTCCGCGCCCTGCTGGTGCACTACATCCAGGACAGCGCGCGGCACAGCACCGCCTCCCTGGACATCGTCACCTCCGACGCCTTCGCCACCATCCTGGACTTCCTCTACTCCGGGAAGCTGGACCTGTGCGGGGAGAATGTGATCGAGGTGATGTCGGCGGCCAGCTACCTGCAGATGAACGACGTGGTGAACTTCTGCAAGGCGTACATCCGCTCGTCCCTCGACATCTGCCGCAAGATGGAGAAGGAGGCGGCGGTGGCGGCGGGC